CACATTTCTTCACAGCTCTGTCACCAGCTGGCCTGCTGCATTCATTAGTTTGCTGTTTCTCCACTGTGTGGAAGTTCCCTCATGGCTGCTTAATTTTGATGGTGGAAACAGAAAGCAAAGCCTTCAGTTCAGATGGGGGTGGGGGGAGGGGGAGCCCTCAAGGGGCAGGACTGTGTGTGCAGAGGTGACCTGAGGCCTTGCCCTGCTGATGGTCCCAGCCCATTCATGCCCCCACTGACCCAGATGACCCCATCAGCATGTTACTAATCTGCTGGGCATGTGGATGTGTGGAATAAGTGAATGCATCCAGAAATACGTTTAGTGCAGTTTTAGCGTGAATAAAAACCAGATTCTAGAAACATTTGAATATCTAATTTGATGTAGCATAAGTAGACTTCTCTTCTAAGCCTTTTTTTTCTATTCCATTTTCAGAAAAGGAGAATGTTTAGGTTATATCTATTTTTATCTATATAAAGTAGCAATATATTTGTTCTGTCACCATTTTTAGACTTGTAAATATTTGCACAAATTCTCACTGAGCATAAAAAGAACACTTTAAATCTAGACAGGTAATAACATCTTTAACCAAGAAGGGAGGGAGAGTTTCATTCAATTACTTTCCCAGGGATTGTGGCTGGGGCCTGGGAGTTCACCTCCACATGGTCACTCTGGACTCTGCTGCAGAGATCTCACAGGGGGACCAAGTGGACCCTGTGCTGCTCTGGTAGAGAGGCTGCAGCGGCCAGTGCCCTAGGAGAGGGGTGTGTGGCTTTTCTCTCAGCAGCCCTGGGTCAGGGCATAGAGGTCCCAGTGAGCACCACCCTCAGTTCTAGGGTCATCATCTGACAAGAAGAGCCTCATGTCACAGGATCAGCAAGAGAAGACTTTCTCTTCACAGCTTCCCAAACAGCCGAAAGTCAGAAGAATAAAACTCATTCCACTGGCACCATTATTCTTCTCCATTTAAAACATGATCTGTTGGGTGTAGTGAAGGGGTGGGTGGTGAGAGAGGGACCCTCAATCCTTGCTCACATCCCATTCCACCTTCAACACCCACTACTCAGTCCTACCACAGGCCTTACTGCTCCTGTTCCTAGGCTGAGAAAGCCACCCACCCCACCCCATCCCCATTCTCCTTGGCTGTTATGACCTTCATCCACTTCCAAAACTTCCTCTCCAAGCTTAGCCCTCCTCACTGTCTGCAGCTGATTCACCTCCCATGTCACAGAAGAACAGAGACCTCCCATAAGTCTCCAGCTGACTAACCTTGGCCCACAGTTCTTGTGCATTCTATCACAGATGACAGAGTGCTCCTCAACCCTACTGGGGCTTGGGACGCAACCCTTAAGAGCTCCAGACCCTATCTTCCTCAGGAAGCTTCAACCTCTCTCTCTGATGCAACAAATATACTCTGGTTGCATCTGCCAAGGTGACCTTTTCTTACTGCCATCCACATTCCTCAAATATACACACACACATACAGAGAGAGAGAGACACACACACACACACAACTGTTGATTCTGCTTCTCTGGAAAACCCTGATGAATACAGATTTTGACACTGAGAAGTGTGGATGCTGCTGTAACAAATACTAAAGATGTGGAACCAGCTTTGAAACTAGGTAATGGGCAGAGGCTGGGATAATTTTAAGATGCATCCTAGAAATATGGATATTAGGGCCATTCTGATGAGGCCTTAGGTGGAAATAAAGAATACCTTATTGAAAACTGGAGGAAAGGCCATCCTTGTTATAAAGTGGCAAAGAATTTGGCTGAACTGTGTTTTACTGTTTTGCGGAAGACAGAACTTGCAGGTGATGAAACAGAATATTTAGCTGAGGAGGTTTCTAAACAAAGTGTTGAAAGGGTAGCTTGGTTACTCCTGACTGCTTATAGTAAAATGTGAAAGGAGATGAAGAAGACACAGTTAAGCAAAAAGGAACCAGAACTTGAAGATTTAGAAAATTCTTAGCCTATCCATATTGAAAAAAAAAAAAAAAAAGAGAGAGAATGCATGTTCTGAAGAGAACACTAAATTTTAGCTGAACAACTATTTGATAAAGAAATCATGGGTGCAACTCATGGACTTAATCAGCCATCTCAGCAGAAACCATAGAATAGAGATGGGATTATACCAGCAAAGACACTGCCAGTTTGAACTAAAGGGTACAGAGAAAGCCGGACAGAAGGGAGGCAGGCTGTCAGACTTCGTGGAGTCTATGGGAACCAAACTGCAGAACTATTTGGCTCTGAACATGCACTATTCTTTCAGGGAAGAATGACCTGGAAGGTGATGCAGAGATCATCAGGGCTCACATTCCCACCCCAGGCCAGGGGTCAAGGCTATTTCTTCCTCAGTTGCAGAGGGAGGGGTTGCGTCTCCAGTTTCTGCAGGCCAGGATGATCCCACACAGTGCCTCTTGAGTGGGGCTTCCCTTGAAGAGAGCCATGTGGATGGGGCAGCCACACCAAGCTACAGAGGTGACACTGCCATCCCAGTGGCCTGGAGGACAGAGCATTGAGCCAAAGAAGATTATTCTCCAGGCTTAAGAGTTCATGAAATTTACCTTGCTAGATTTTAGACTTGCTTGGGATCTGTGAGCCTTTCTTCCCTCCAATTTTTCTTTTGAAATGAGAAAGTCCATCCTATGCCTATCCTCTCATTGTACTTTGGAAGCACATTAACTGTCTGATTTCACAGGTTCACAGCTGGAGAGAAATTTTGCCTTGTGGTGAATTATAGCTCGAGTCTTATTCATATCTGATTTAGATGATATTTAGATGAGACTTTGGACTATAGACTTTAGAGTTGATACTGGAACAAGTTAAGACTTCTGGGGCTGTTGGGGTGAAATGAATATATTTTGCATGTAAGAACATGAATTTTCAGGGGTGAGGAGCAGTATACTAAGGGCTGAATTGTGTCCCCCCAAATTCATAAGGTGAAGCCCTAACCCCCAATGTGACTATATTTGGAGATATGGCCTTTACAGAAGCACTAAGAGTTACATGAGCTCATAAGGACAGAGCCCTCATCCAATAGGATTGATGCCTTTATAAGAAACCTCCAGACAACTCACTCTCTCCCCCTGCTATTTGAGGACACAGCAAGAAGGTGGCCATCTGCAAGCCAGGAAGAGAGTCCTCAGCAGGAACCAAATTGGCCAGCACCTTGGTCTTGGACTTCCAGCCTCCAAACTGTGAGAAATAAATTCCTGTCCTTTAAGCCACCTGGTCTATATTTTGTTATGGCACTCTGAGCTAAGAGACCTAAACCTTCCCTCTCTCAGTAGCTGGTACCAAACACGATTACCAAAATTTGATCTAACTGACATGTTTGGAGCCCTGCACTCAATAATAGAATACACATTCTTTTCAAGTACACATGAATATAGCCGACATACGTTGAGGCATAAAACAAGATTCCACAAATTTCAAAGGACTGAAATTTCAGAGTTTGTTCTCTGGCCACAGTGGAATTAAGCTAGAGATCAATAAAAAAAAAAAAGGTAACTAGAAAAATCCCACTGTTTGAAATTAAGCTACAGACTTTTCAGTAACCAATGGTGCAACACAAAAAATCATGAATTAGAAAATATTTTAAACTGCATATCAAAAATATATCAAAATCCAATGTTGCATATAAAGCAGTTTTAGAGGAAAATTCAGAGTTTTTGATTCACATATTAGAAAAAAAAAAGATGGAAATCAGTGATCTAAGCTTCTATCTCAAAGGAAAACAAACCTTAACCTCTTCATGTGAATGACAAAAATCAATTCTAGGTGGGACGTTCATCTAAGTGCAAAAGATAAAACAATACAAGCTATAAAAAATATGTCAGGTTGGGCCACATAAAATTTAACAACTTCTGCTTATCAAAATACTCTTATTAAGAGATTAAAAGGGCTGCTCAGCTAACTCAGTTGGTTAGAGTGCAGCCTTATATCCCCAAGGTCATGGGTTCAGATCCCAATCAATCAATCACACACACACACACACACACGCACACAGAATGAAAAATATGCCATAGAATGAGAGAAGATATTTGCAAAAGTATATATCTGATAAAGGACTCCTAGCCAGATTATATCAAGAACACCTACAAAATCACTTAGAAGGAGACAAAGAACCCTAATAGAAAAATGGGTAAAAGACTTGAACAAGTACTTTATAAAAGAGGATATCAGTGAATATATGAAACTAGTCATCAGAGAAATGCACATTAAACCCACACACCCACCAGAACAGGTAAAATGAAAAACACAATATTCAGTGTTGATGAGAAGACATCACAATTCTCATGCACAGCTGGTAGGATATGACTCCTTGACTTTGGAAACCTGTTATTATTTGGTACAGTGTATACACAACAGAAATGTGTACCTACATGCACCAAAAGACAGAAATGTTCACACTGTCACTAATCATAATAACTAAACACTGGGAACAATTAAATGTCCACCAATAGTGGAATAAAGCATAAACTACAGTTCATTCACACAGAAGAATAATGTACAATGATAAGAAAGTAAACTACACTGCCCACAACTCATACACATGATGTTGAACTAAAGAAGGCAGACACAAAAGAACACACACTGTATAATTCCATTCATATAATGTCTAAGACTGCACAAAAGTAAGCTGTAGTGCCACAAGTCAGGGCACTCCCCCAAGAGGGTGAGTGCTGAGCGGAGGGGGTGTTTAGGGGCTTCCCACAGGTTGACATGTCTCAGCTGGAGTGCTGGTTACATGTGTCCAGTTTGTGAAATTTCACCTATCTATACACTCATGACTAGGGCAATTTTCAGTATATACTTTATACTTCAGTAATATTTTACTAAAAATTAAAACAATACAAACAAAAAAACTGTGGACATGTATCTACTTGAATGGAAGTTTCTTCATAATACTGAAAAGGTTACAATGTAATGCATATAATATGATGCCATGCTTGTAAAAAATAATGTATACGCATAGAAATAGGATATACAGAAACATATGTTCAGTAAAAAATATTTATTGAGCATGTACTAAGTGCTACCACATAATTTATTTGAAAGACATCGACACAACTGTACTATCCCATGCAGAGCCCATCACATGCACCGCCAATTCCAGCCCTGACTCCAGGCTGGAGCAGCTCAGCGCCCTACACACCACCTGCACAGAGTGGTGCAGTGCTACATCCTGCATGTTGAGTGGGTGAACCGACAGCAGCAAGGACACCACTAATACATGATGCATGAACAGTCACTGTCACAGGGGAACACAGGCTGATACACGTGCATCCTAGGAGTTCAGAACTAGACCTAGCTTGGAAACACTGAACCACGACCTACCCACGGGTTGGCACTGTGGGAACCACGGGGTGAACACCAGGATAACATAGCCTACTTCTATGGGCAGACACTGGGCAGTGAGGGTGGCAATGCAGCTCCTGCCAGCCCAAGCGCATTTGTCTGTGAAGGAGCCTGACGTCGCTGGCCAGGCGGGGAAGGGCAGTGTAGAGTGGGTGGGAGCAACCAGGTGCATCTTGATTCACTGTGTTCCTCCCACAAGGTACGCAGGCTGCCTCCCAAATGGAACGTCTCTGTTATCTCCAGATCGGAAAAACTTTTTCTCCAACCTGAAAGAAATAAAACAAATTAATCGAATAGTAAATTGTTTCTGTTTGATTAAGGTAGTATTTTCTACTAATTTAATATTGTACAAGAGAATGGCATTTAGGTGCAGAATATTTTTTAAATGACAAACGTTTAAACTTTTAACATAAAATTATCACAAAGCAAAGCACAAAACAGGTATTAAAAAACAAAGGGCAAGCATTGATTATTTTGCTTTTCTTTCCCACATTAACCCTCCATCCAGACAGGAGAAGTGCATTCTCAGCAGCCTCTGAGACAAAGCTGAGGTGAGAACCTCCCCGCCAACCTCCGACAGCCCCGGCCCGCTCGGTGCTCTCCACACATTGTTTCACGTGTGGAATCAAGGGCTGTCCAGTGAGCACACCCACGCCACACCGCACCTCTGGGCTAACTATCGAGAAGCTGCAGGGTCTGGGTTGAGGATGCACAGCTAGCTCGGCTAGCTCTTCTCTTCTGGACACAGCAGGAGACCAGCTGTGTCATCCCAGGAAATGACTTCCCTCTCTGAACCCTCCATTTCCTATTCTGTAAAATGGGAAAAGCAGCTAATAACAGCATTCACTTCCTGTGTGAGGATTAAATAAAATGAGGCAAAAAAGGCATGAGCTGCAGAGCCTGGGCCCCGGCATGCACAAGCATTTGCCCGTCTCCCCAGGACCAGCATCCACAAGACGTAATTTTACAATCCAGTATCTTACTTTTTGAGATGTGGGGTCCTGTCTGGAAGTGACAGCCCAGCTCAGAGCAACCGACATGTGCCTTCTCCATACTGGATTTCTCTGCAACACAACTGAACCTGTGACCACATCTCCTGTGTGGACAGGGACTGGGTCATCCATCATAAACAGTGTCTGCTTCCAGTGTGTGGTGCTGTAAGACAGGGCAGTGCCGTGAGCCTCGGGCAGCCTCCAGTCCTCCCTGTGAGCCTGGAAACCCAAGCTTGACTTTTCAGGTTAATTTATGCCCACCCTGGGTGGCCCAGTGGTCTCAGGAGATCTCAGGGGGGAGCCCAGGCCATAGGCAGGGTCCCTGTGCGGTGCCTGACTCCCCAGGCCCCTCGCCGGGGTCCACCTGCCAACACTAAGCGCCTGGTGTGCCTGCTCCTAACATCCTGTCCCTTCATCGCCCCTGACTCTGGCCAAGTCCTCAGCCACTTTGTGGGGTGGGGTCCTCGTTCTCTGGCACTGCTTTTAGCCTGCATTCTGCGGCTCTGTGCCCTGCCCCTCACCAGCCACATTGGCGGGAGTGGGGGGAAGCCCCCACCTCTGCCAGGTGACAGCAGCACCCCCTGGGGACGGGGATCCCTGCGGCCACCACGGGGCACTCTGGGAACACATCCAGCCCGGGCATTTCTGCAACCGTCCGGACCCTGACGCTGGGGAGTTAACAGGGGCGGTTACTGAAAAGGGAACAAAGACAGCCCCCTAGGGAAGGGCGTCAGGACTGCGTCCCCTCCACCCCCTGTGAAGAGCTTCTGGATAGCAAACGCGTCCCGAGACTCAACCACCTCCAAAGCAAGTCCGGGTGCAGGTGGGAGCCCTCAAGGTTCTGTCAGTTGTTTCTGTGTCAGCTCATGGGACGTAGGGAGAAGACGAAGCCGTCCCCCCGCAGCCTCGGGTCTGCTCCTCCCAAGTCCCCACGGCTGGGAAGCCCAAAGCAGGCAGTAGGGGCGAGCACCCGCCTCACCGCCATGCACGGCCTGAGGCTCCTGCCGGGGGCACAGGGACCGCCCGCGCCACCCCCCGCCGCCCCGCGGGCACTCACGGGTGGAAGGGGCCGGTGCTGAGCACCTGCTGAGGCTGGCCCTCCTGCAGGCTCTGGAAGTGCACGCTGAACCAGGCCGTGAAGCCGTGCAGCGTGCCCGCCTTCCGGATGTCAAAGCGCAGGTCGCCCCGCAGGGTCTGCGAGTGAAAAATGGAAAGGCTGGACACAGCCCGCTCCCCGCCCCCCAAGCCCCTGGGGAGGTGCCACCACGCGCCTCACAAAGTCCCCTCTAGGGACGGCAGCTCCTACACTTGCATAGCAAAGTCGGATGCTGCAGACGACCAGAGGACGTTTCAAGCAACTGGTTTCATTTCTCCAACTTTTGCCCCCAAATCCCCGCGGGATGCTCTCTGTGCTGGGCGCCCACCATCCACTGCCCAGGCCGCGCAATCACTGGGAAGATTGCCAAGAATTTTGTCATCAATGGCGCTAAAACACTCGAAAAACTTTAATTCAAGTACCATGGTGAAATGGAATATAATTTATTGTATCTTGAAGATGCTGAGAATATTAAACATAAATCTAAAAATAATTCAATATGCTAAAGACATTAACTATAAAGAAAATGATGAAAAATACATGAAAGACAAAATCAGAATAGAACAAAAAAAGAAAAAAGAATGGGAAAAACCAATAGCAAAAAGCTTATAAATTCACTTATTTGCATAATAAAATAGTCACACACACAGACCTCCAGCACTCACTGAAGGTTTGTGATATTCCAGACCCAGTTCTCAGTGTTTTACAGGCATCGATCATTCAGGGTAAGAAGGAAGCAGTTCACCTTTTTCTCACCTCTAGATCAGAGATTTGCACAGTTCTCATGTCCAATTGTAATATAGTGCATGGTTCAGAGAGACAGTCTTCTGGTTTCAAAATGTGGTTATACTTGGGCTTCGAAAAAAACTCCTTAATTGCTAAAGATCTAGGAGAAAAAGTCAAAATAATTGCTCAATGTCATTTCAAACATCTTAGGCTCTAAAACACATGTGAGAGTAATGCTTTTTCTCTTCTGTATTGGAAGGAATTCTAAACCACTGTCTGCAGCCCTGGTGGCTGAGGCAGCTCTGCAGATGAGCTCAGCCTGAGAGCAGCCTCAGGCTCCCAGAGCCCTGGGTCCCTCCTTCCCTGGAGGCTGCAGCACCCGGGACAGTGTGAATAACTGGGGCTTCCAGTCGTGTCCCATTCACATGGATCTGAGCACACGGAAACCAACACTCACCCACATAACCTAGAAGAGATGGGGGCTGCAGAATGTCTTCTTTAGTTTTAGAATCTATTTTATTTCAGAATACCTTTTGTGGATCATCTGTTACACAGCAAATAAAAAAGATATTCCTGCTGTAGGTCACTCCACACAAAATGCAATGAGTCAGCAGGACCAAAGAGGCCCCCTGGAGCCTAAATCTCAGGAGAAATTCTTGCACTGCTGCTGCTGTGCAAATCCAACACAAAAACAGATCACTGGACCTCCCACCTGGCCCCTGCACGGCCCCTCTGCACACCATCCTGTTTGCTAACCTACTTCACTCCCTGCACTGGTACCTGCCAGAAAGACATCAATTATTTACCAAAGAAATGCCAAAAAATTAAGCACAACAGTAACTTCTGAAGTAGCAAATAAAAGTAAATGTTTTAATACAGATTCTATTACATGTACGTATTTCTAAATATTTTCTGATAACATAATTATGAATTTATAGGAAAGTAAAAAATATAGACAAGTATAAAGAAAAAATTTTAATTCCCTATATTCCTGCCTTAGCATCTTTATATGTTATTTTTCTCCCCCAGACATATGTTTATTTACGCAAAATAGGAGCCATTCTGTATAAACTGTTTGTCCTGCCAGTTTTAGTATCACTTAGATGCTTTCTAATTTATTCTCTCTCTATATATATATATTCTACAATATTCCTAAAAACCCATGGTTTTTTTTAGACAGCTGCACTGTACTCCATCAGAGGTATATACAGCAATTTAACCATGTTCCTATAGATAGCCTCTGTTTGCAGAGTTTTTTGTGTACACGAGCACACCACAACACCACGACCTCTCGGGGGGAGGCTGTGGCAGTGACTGCAGGGTATACACCAGTGCCGATCTCTAAGGCCAGGCACCCACGATCTCCAGCTCATCCCTCTCCCACCAGGTGACAGCAGGTGCACATAGCACCTCTGCTGCCACCGGTCAAGCCCCAACTACTATTTCAATTTAATTTTTGCTCATCTGGTGGGCAAAAACAGCATTTGGTTCCATTTTCATTTAAATTACTGAAAGTGTAATTTTTAAAACATTTATTGGTAGTTTTACTTTGTGTGACTTGCCTGTTCCAGTGATGTGGCTGTCATTTCATGCGGATATTCATCTTTTCTAATTGACTCTAAGATCTTTCAGCAAGTAACTTTCTCTAATTAGTTTCTGCCTCTTATAATTGTGCTCAACTGGCTTCTGCACACAGCCTGTCAAGTCTTATAAACTCTAATCCAGTATCTATTTCATTCTTCACTTGTGCTAACGTCCTCTTTTCCACCTAAGATCTGACACACAGGCCCCCTCAGATTCCTGAAGCTGATGTTGACATTTTATGTTTTAACACAGAATTCTTAAATCTACACAGAATTCAGTTTTAATGTATGGCGTAAGAGAAGAAATTTTCTCCAAAGGGCTAATGGGCTGTCCCAAGATAATCTGCTGACAGCCCTCACCCTCATGTGCAGAAACGTTCTGTTCCGTGCAACCTGTCCTGTCCCATCCTCTGCCTTTTCTTGCTATAGTACCACACTGTTTTAACTGCTCCACTCTATGATAGATTTTACTACCCTGTAACATAAGTATCTCCTCATTGTCCTTTTCAAAACTTTCCTGGCCCTTCTCACCTATTTCTTCCTAGATGAACAATAGAACCACTTTGTAAGGGAACTTTCCTCTCTATTCCCATTGGGATTCTGACTGAGGGTGCAATGATTCCATATATTAACTGAGAAAGATTTCGTATCTTTACATTTTTTTAAAAAATTTTTTAATAAAAATATAAAAGGCACAAAGACCCCATGCCTTGCCACCAACTCCTGGCCTGTGTGTATCTGCAGGAGTCCAGCCTCACTGAATAAACCACAAGTCTCCTGTCCCTTCTGGCCAATAAGAGGCCCCTTCCCTAATTTCCAGGGCTGATGTGGGTTTTCCCTGCTTCATTTCTACAGCACTCTCAGAGGGTGAAGCAACCCACTTAACCATTCTTCTCAGCACAGGCAATATTTAAAAGGTGAAGGCCTCATCAGGAAATCATTTTATGTTAAAAGCTGAAGCTTGACTGTACAAATACGTCCATATGTTCAAAACCAGGAGGTCACTATTTTGGAGTATTGCTCTGTCTGTAAAACACCAGGAATAGCACTGCTAGCACATTTTCTGATCCTCATTAAAAACATATAGTGCTCAATGGGAAGACACATTTGTGTTTTAACAGCCCACACATTTTTAAAGGCCTCCTTTTTAAATATAACCTTCTTTTCCCCATTATATTAGGGAACTTAGACTGCAAGATACAATTCCCGTCACATCTGTTATCGGTTCAAAGGCATCAGAAGTAGCAAAGTTCTGAGGCCTATGGTGAGCTTGGATTAGCTTCCCGGCATGTCCTACACAATTCCCGTCACATCTGTTATCGGTTCAAAGGCGTCAGAAGTAGCAAAGTTCTGAGGCCTATGGTGAGCTTGGATTAGCTTCCCGGCATGTCCTACAACACAGAGCAGTTATTCTGTCTTGGGAGCACCTGCAGTTTTCACAGTGGGGCTTTCTCCCCGAGCTCTTCTCACCCCATATCTTCCCTCAGGAGCAGGAGGGGGCCTGGTGGGAACACATCACAGGGCTCCCCTGCAACAACCATCTCACCCACCAGGAACTGGGCCAGGGGGGCAGGGCAACGAAGAGGGGGGACGGTGGGAAAATCTCAGCCAGATTCCCACAGTCGTTCCAGGTCACTAGGTGCATAGGGAACAATTTTCCTCAAACAAGAATGCCTACATTTCGGGCCGGCCCCGTGGCTCACTCGGGAGTGTGGTGCTGGTAGCGCCAAGGCCGCGGGTTCGGATCCTATATAGGGACCGACAGTGTGCTCAATGGCTGAGCGTGGTGCAGACCACACTTTGCTGAGGGTTGCGATCCCCTTACCCGTCAAATTAAAAAACAAACAAACAACAACAACAAAAAAGAATGCCTACATTTCCACAGATGATTAACGGGACTACCTTCTCAGGACGGGGCAGAGAGATTCACGGAAACACAAAGGCAGCATTCACGTGAAGTCTCCAGGCCCCCAGCCAGAGCCCAGATCGCGGCCACCTGCAGACCATGGACCACGGGGAAGCCCCCAGGACAGCACCCATCTGGCGGTGAACACTTACTTCAGCGCACTGAGGTTGAACTCGTAGGCGTTGTCCCAGAAGAGCACCTTGCTGTGGTAGTCCTTGTCGGCGCTGCAGGGCACAAGGTGCAGCGCAGCCGTGGTTGGCCATATGATCCCGTCCTCTTTCAGCCAGGCATCCCGGGCGTACAGAATGGACTCGATCATGAATTCGAACTGAACAGGAGGGAGACACACACAGGAGACATGGCCCTGAGCCCCCGCATCTGCACAGACCTCTCCACGCTACACTCAAAATGTTACAGTCAGTCCGAGGGTTTCACAGTTTTAGACTCAAGAATGTTACTGGGCATGAGAACGTTTTGTGGGATTTCTTTTATACCCACACATTCCTGGTTGCCATTTGTATCAGAGCCTGGGTTTAAGTCACACCATTCCCCACTAGAATTAAGAACTGGAACATGGCTAAAGGCCAGGAGAAATATTCACTCTGGCCCAATCTCAGCTACTCAGGAGTTACTAACTTTTAGACTTTGAAAGGGCCCCTAAGTGCTGCAGGGTTCTAACTATTAAATGAAATCAATTTGGTCTGGGTAGTCTCAGAATTTTCACAACCCTTTAAGTTGACTGAAATCACTCCATAACAATCCTGAAGTCCAGCAGGTGTGCCACGTCATTCGCGTGGCACTTAAGTTACAAGAGTGGCTGCTCCTCCTCCCACCCGCATCCCTCAGAACACCTCGAATCTACAACTGGGCACATGGGGAGCTGGCAGTGAGAGGCCAGCTTTTCTGTGTGAACAGAACTTGCTTCCAATGCAGAAAGGAGAAGGAGCACTAGGAAGTGGGGGCTGGGCCCTCAGACCCACCTGCAGAGCTTGCTCCTCATCCTGTAGTTGATGGGAATGACAGAGGGCCTTGCTTCCCTTAAATAATCTCAAGCAGGTTTAACATAGAGTACATGTTCGGTATGAAAAATTTCAGAAAACTCAGAAAAGCACAAACAAACTAAAAGTCACAAGTAAATGCAACACCCAGGAGGACCACTGCTGTCTGATGGGAATGACAGAGGGCCTTGCTTCCCTTAAATAATCTCAAGCAGGTTTAACATAGAGTACATGTTCGGTATGAAAAATTCAGAAAACTTAGAAAAGCACAAACAAACTAAAAGTCACAAGTAAATGCAACACCCAGGAGGACCACTGCTGTCACTCTGTGGTTTATGTTCCAGTACTTCTCTACACATACACACACACACACACACACAAATACATACATATAATTTTCTAGTATTATTTTTTCAGTTATCATACAGTAAAACTGAACCTTCTTGTTGTGCAGCCTGTGAGCCCCCAGCACATGCATCCATCTGTGTGCCCACAACCATAGTCAGCACCACCACCCTAACGCTCATGCCCCCGTGGGTGGCCCCATCCTCCCCACACCCACCCCTGGAAACCACTCACCTAGTCTCCATCCCTCTGGCTCTGTCTTTTCAAGAATGCCGTATAAATAGAATCAGGCAGTATGAAAGCTTTCAAGACTGGCTTCTTCACTCAGTGTAACATCTAGGGTTTACTCACGCTACTGTGTTTCGACAGTTTGCTCCTCTCCATTGCTCAGCAGTGTTTCACCGTATGCATGCACCCGTTTATTGACTAACCTGCTCAAGGACAGTTGGGTTGTTTCCAGTTTTGTTTTGGTTTTTTTTGGCAATTATAAATACAGCTAGTATAATCATTCATGTGCAGGGTTTTGTGTGAAAATAGCTTGCACTTCTGCAGGGTAAACACTAGGAGTGGGACTGTGGGGTCATACAGTGAGTGTTTGTGTTTGTACAACTTTGTAATAAGGTGCCAAACTTTTCCAGAGTGGCGCGTTCCCACCAGCAATGGATGAAGCTTAGTTGCTCCGCATCCTTGCCAGCACTTGGTATTATTGCCAGTATTTTTTTAAATTTTAGCCATTTTTCACTAAGTGTGAATGATATCTCACTGTGGTTTTAATGTGAAATCCCTGAAGGCTCACAACGTTGGACGTCTCTGTGTGTGCGTGTGCTGTCTGTGCGCCCACTCTGGGGTGAAATGTCTGATCAGCCTGTTGCTCATCTTTTGATTGGACTGTTTTCTCCCTGTGGAGTTTTGAGAGTTCTTTGTATATTCGGGACATACACTGGATATGTGACTTGCAATATTTTCTCCTAATCTCAGCTCATCTTGTCATTCTCTCAACACTGTCTTTTGCAGCAGACATTTTTATTTTTGTTGAAATCTAAACTATAAACTTTTTCTTTTGGAGTCACACTTGAAAACTCTTTGCCTAACTCCAGGTCATGAATATTTTCTCCTATGATTTATTCTAAAAGTTTTAGGCTGGCTGGTTAGCTCAGTTGGTTGGAGCACCATGTTGACAACACCAAAGTCCAGGGTTTGGATTCCCGTACCAGGCAGCTGCCCCCCCAAAATTTAAAAAGTTTTATAGTTTTATATTTTACACTCTTAGATCTGTGATCAATTTTGAGTTAAGTTTTTTATGAGGGGTGAGGTTAGGGTGAGGTTCTTTTTTTGGGTTATGAATGCCAACTATTCCAGTATCACTTGCTGAAAAGACTCTTTTCTCGATTGTAGAAACGTATTTCTCTACTCTGCTCCACTGACTTGTGTCCGTCCCTTCACCAATGCTACACTGTCCTGATCACTATAGCTTTAAAATCAAGTAGTGTGATTCCTCCAACTTTATTCTTCTTTTTAAAAATTGTATCAGTTATTCTAGCTCCTTTACACTCCATATAAATTTTTGAATAAGCTTGTCTATATCTACCAAAAAAAGCTGATTGGATTTTGATTGGAACTGTATTAAGTCTACAGATCAATTTAAGGAGAACAGACATCTTTATTAGATTGAGCCTTCCATTCTACAAACACTGTACATCTCTCCATTTATTCAAGTCCTCTGTGATTTCTTCACCAGCATCTTGTAGTTTTCAACATGCAAGATGTACATGCTTTATTAGATTTCTAAGTATTTCATATTTTTGGAGCTACTGTAAATGGTATTGTTTCTTTAATTGCGGTTTCCACTTTACATCACTAGAACTTACCTTCTGACGACATATTTTCAACAGGGCTCAAGGCCAGTGTCACCTGCTGTCATCTCCCTCAATCTTTGCAATCGATAAGCACTAGGGGCTCAAGAGCCTCTTGTTTATTATTTAAATGGGATGCCTTGCTGCAAACATCAGTCCTATTCTGCTCCCCTTCACGCAGATGTTATTTTTCTGAATTTTTACACAGAGACTAAATTTCAGGTTGGGATATTTCACTGTAATGTCTGGTGTCCCGAGATGCTGAGTCCACGTGTTCCTCCCTGACAACAGGGCTGGGCAGACAGTGTCCAACCACCTGTCACTTTCCCGCCAAGCTGACAGCATCTGTGACAAGGTGCTGCATGGGAGTATCAATGAAGAACCAGAAAACAGTCCACTTCCACTTCATGTGAGACTCAGGGAAAGAGGGAACTGGGGAAGGCCACACGCTCACTGGGTTTCACTAGCTAAATCTGGTTTCATGCCATCCCTGGGGCCAGGCAAGTGAAGAGAGGAAACCAGGCCAGTGAGAAGAACAGGGCTCTGCTGGCATCAGAGAAAAGGCTTCTGCATTCAACACTGGATGCCTGCAGGTTCCAGAGGAGAATACAGTTTATGTAAATCACTCATGAGAAAGTTATAGTAACTCTGATTTAAATTTCTCATAAGGCATTTTTTTAATCACCTAAAAAGACAGTGAGCCAATGTTCACATGAGAAATTAATTATATCTCACCTTAGGGAAAAAATCAAAATTAATCATGACTTTTAAAGATTCCTGAGATGGAACCAGCTGTGCTGGGTTCAGAAGCCCCGCAGTCCCTGCTGCCAACAGCATATCCCACCCTTACCAGCAGGCAGGTCCCCATCCACTCAGACACCAGCACGTCCACCTTCTCGGGCAGCACCACGTCCTCCACCTTCTGCTGAAACACGGTGATGGTGTCTGCGAAGCCGTTCTGCAGGACCAGCTGCCCCGTGTGCTGTGCCATCTCGCTGGCCTCCACGGCATATACCTGCCAGCAGTGGGAGCCTCATCAGTGCATGTCCCAACCCTATGCAGCAGCCTATATCATCCACTCTGTTCCTCATCAGAACAAGAAATCAGAAAAAACAGTCAATGGCAGAAGGAAGCAGGATTCTGGACACGGCAGGAAGTGCAGCACAGCTCTGCACCCTTAGACAGTGCTGGGAAAGGAGCTGTCCCCAATCCTACCACCTCCTACCACCTCCCTCCACCTCCTGCACAAAATGCAGACACAGGGCTGCAGGTGGATAGAGCCTCGCGCTA